CCTTTTGCTCGCTTTGTCTTGCCATGAGTCTTGTTGGTTGCCTATGCTGGTTCTGACCTCTTGGCTCAAGCAATCTGCCTGCCTCAGCCTCTCATGTAGCCAGGCTACAGGTGTGTACTGTGGCTCTCAGAAAGAATGGTGCCCTTTTGGGAAGTTTTCTTGCTGAGGATGCTGGAAGAAAATACACTGGGCTTAATGCTGTCTGCCTCCACACTTTACTGATGGACACTGGGAAAATCTGACTTAGCGCTTTTCCATTCTTATTATAAATTATGCAGGTATGAGGTTGTATTAAAACACTGCAGTGGGTAATGTCAGATTCTCGGCATGTCTGCATCACCTTGCATAAAGAGATTAACATTGATTCCATCTAATTTTTACCAATAAAAACAGACACTTAAAATATTTAAATGGATCAATTTTCCTGTGGTTTGGGGTATGACATTTTAAAGGCTTCCAAATTTAATGGGAGTATCTTTCTAGATAGAAGACTTTTGGTGGCAGTTAACCATAAAAAAGATTTCTTTGTTGGCCACTTTTAATCTTTTAAGCCCAATTGCTTAGCATTATTACTTTTGCATACAATGTGACAGTTTTATTTTCTCTGCTAGACTTTTTAAAAAAATTATTATTTATTTTTCATAATTTTATTGATAAACAAATAGCAATGAGACAGTTTCAAATCAAAACGCTAGGGCAGTTTCAATAATTAACACACTGCATACATTCTTCTTAGTGGTTAATTACTGTATGAGATGCGGACTTGAGATCCTATTTACAAACACCATTAAAACAAATCATTCAATTCATTAAGAGAGTGTAACTATATATCTATCCTAACCACTTTGAATACACAGATACAAAATGGACATTCATCTGTATACCCTTTTTTTTGTGAAGTTCCGTTATTTGAATATTATAGGTGTGTAAACTCAGCAAAATATTCTAAAAGAGTCCAGTAGCCCATAATAGCATTGGGTCTTCTGTTTAACTGGCAATGTCAGAAATTGTTGACCTGAGTCCCCCACAGCTCAACATAACAGCATGGCTTTACTTCCTATATTTCGTCTTCATACTTTTCTTTCTTTTTTTTTTTTTTTTTTTCTTCATACTTTTCTACTGGATGATTAAGACCAAAGTAAAGCAGGACCTATGCAACAAGAGTTGTAGCTTTTGGGTCTGATAAGGTCAGTGAAATCCCCTCTGGATTTATCCTGAGATCCTGTACCTCAGATTGTAGAACCTTTGTCAGTGTCAGCCATGTGGATGAGTCATGGCCATTGCTTGGCCAATGTGCTCTCTGTGAAAGCCTGAGAGAGTGTTTTCTCTCCATGTGACTCTCCTTAGGCACATTCTATATCATCGTTCACTTTCCTCTTTGGCCCCATAATCTCCTTGATCAGAAAATTTGGGACACTATTGAGTTACATGACGTTACAGTACAAGTTC